CCTATCCGGCTAGCTTTCAGCCCGCCTCCTCTGGGCCTAACTGATCGCTCTTTATCTTTTGTAAAACAGCTCTTGAAAGAAAGCTGCAAAGAAATGGCTCAGATACCTGGAGACCTATATGGTGTGTCTGCACTGGACAGGCCCAATCTATACAAATACTTGTAAAGGCAAAGATGACGTATTTGAGTGAAGGAGTGGGCTTGTAGCTGTAGCATATCCCATAAAACACTGCAGTTATGACTATCTAAGACAGAGATAGGCAACTTTAGGCACTCCAGATGTTGTGGACTGTTACATCCATAATGCTCTTACATCCATAATGCTGGCAAAGCATCATGGGAGGTGTAGTCCAAAACATCTGGAGTGTCAAAGGTTGCCAATGCCTGATCTAAGAGATGGGAGACGGGTCTAGAGGTCTTCCATGCATCTTAAAGGATTACTTAACACACTATGACCACTTCAGTGCTTTCCAGTGTCGGATCGCAGGTAAGTTTGCATTTTACATTTTTTTTTTTTAAGTTAGGGACTGTGTCCTTTGTTTGGGGTTTACCTTTATCATATCTTATGGTGCTTGAAAGTTGTTGTTTTATCTTAAAAGATTATTCCAAGCACCATTACCACTTCAGTTAATTGAAGTGGCCAGTGTTGCCTGGGTTCTGTATGTGCAGTGTTTGTTTTTCCCTATGAAACACTGCACCGACGTAGATTAACCTCTCTGCTGCCAGAGGTGTAATTCCACCTCCGGTAGGGTCATTGGCCAGCCCAGAACAAGAGCTACGGGTGGCTAATGTCAATTCTGTGCAAAATTGGCATTTAATGTCAGAACAAGCAGCATACTGGTGCCAGACACAGGGCTGAATTTTCCATTAGGCAGAGCACAGTCATGGGACTGATGGGAGAGATAAGTGCCTGGTGACTTAGACAGTGTCTTAAGTAGTCCAGTCACCTTCCTACGCTTCATACCAGAGCTGCAAATACAGTTAAAGAGGGTGTAAAACTCAGTGCTGTCCCAGGTCCTCCAGTGTCTGTTTGTGAGCCTGGACAGGAAGTGGAAGGGATCACTTCGTGTCTGCCCATGAACAGCCTCTCACACAGGAGGAGCCAAAAGTCAAGGGCACCAGAAATCAGGGAAGTCAGAACGAAGCCAAAGTCAAAAATCAGATATACACGATCAGGAAGAAACTCTCGGATAACCATAAAAGGGAAACCATGACAGGGCACTTACAGAAAGGTAATTTAGGTTTAAATACCCCTCCTTTGGCTGTAATTGACTGTCTCCGACCTCTGACCCCAAATATGGGATTTTTATTCCTGCAATGTCCTGCAATGTCTAGTTAATAAATTAATCAAACTCCCTTTACCTGCTGTTTTGAAATCTGCACCTACAAGCATCTGAAATGTAAATCTGGCTCTCTTGTGTCCTCTGTACTCCCTGTCTTCCCTCCTTTTCCAGTGAAGATGAGGAAGATTTGGCTGTAAGGATAACTTAGTTTTAACATTGGAACCGAGGTAAGTGTTAGCTGTTTTATTTTCTCTTTTTTGGGGGGCGGGGGGAGGTGCATATACAAAAAGATTACTCTAACCAAAACCAGTGTTTTTTTGGTTGGATCAACCCTTCAAAGTTTTACCCTTAAATTCTACACAAATATTGTTGTCTAATTTTAATGAATGTATTGATCTTTATTCGACATTTAAATGTCGTCTGTTATATACCATTAATTGCCATTATAATAAAAAGAAAAAGGAAAAAACAACACGACTAAAGCAAGCCTTGAAGAAATTGTAAAACCATTTCCTTTATGTGAAACCTAGACATCGCCAATAGGATCAGTCAGAAAAGTTATCCATGTTTTGTAAAAACAGCCCGACACAGCGCATCTCGGTGAGCCTAAAAGAAAATTCACCACTTACGTTGAGTCACGAGGGGTTAGATAATTACCTGGTTTCCCAATATAGTCTGCAGTAATTTGCACATCACACTGATAAAAGCGTTTGAAAACCTTCTCTCTCTCTTTTTTCTTCTCTCCAATCTTCTATAGCTGGGCTCGAAGTAGAATATTTTTCTTCCCATCGAGTATAATTAGGGAAAAGTCAGTTTGCAATGCCTGGCTTTCATACGGACCCCCTAAGGAGGCAGGTTCCTGAACTATCAGCAGACGGCCCTGTGGGTGCAATGTGCTTTTAGTATTATTTGCTTAGGTAAGTGGATCCCACCGGGAAAATTCATTAAGAGTGATCCATGGAACCAGTTAAAAAGAAAGGTGTTAAACAACTGGCTCTTCCTTTAGAAATATCTTTGATCAGTAAAAGATCAAATTTTGCTGCGTTATTTTTATGGCGTTAGACTTGCATAGTTTGTGTCTAAGATGCTAGCAGCCTCTCCAGGGCAATGCTACATTTGTGTCATGTGAGCTTACTGTTGAGATGTTGTTTAGATTCTGCTAAACTTTTTAAATAAGGTCTGGGTAACTTTTTTTTATTTTTATTTTATTTTTATTTTTTTTAATTGAAT